CTATTCTAGAAAGCAATTTGGAACCATGCCCAAAAAGCTACTAATTGTGAATACCTTTCGACCCAGCTCTACCACTACCAACTCTATATCCCAAAGAGACCAAAGAAGGAGAAAAAGGTCCTATATTTACAAAAATATTTATAGCAGCTTTTTTTTTTAATGGTGACAAAGAGAAATTGAGGGAGTATTCGTCAATTGGGAAATGTTTGAATAAATTACGGCAACATGAATGTATTGGAATACTATTGTTTGAAATGAAGAAGGGGATGATTGCAGAGAAACCTGGGAGGGTTTGTATGGACTGATGCAGAGTGAAATGAGCAGAACCAGGAGAACAATTTATTCAGTTAGCAACAATATTTTAAAGACAAACAACTTTCAAAGACTTAGGAACACTGATCAACACAATGACCAACCAGAGGACTCATGGTGAAGCATGATCTCTGCCTCCAAGCAGGGAACTGATGGACTCAAGGAGCAAAAAATATCTTGGGGACGTGGCCAACATGGATTTGTTTTGATCGACAATACAGGTGTGTAGCAGGTGTTGTTTTTTCTTGCTTTCTCAATGGGGCATCGGGAGAGGTGAGAGGCAGCTCTTCATTTGAAAATAAAATAAAATGTAATTAAAATGTAGAGTAAATATGCCCCTAGCTATGGTGAATATAGATCATTAGTCTTGGAATCAGGTAGACCTGGGTTCAAATTCCACCTCAGACACTTATTAGCTGTGTGACCCTGAGCAAAGCACTTAATCTTGCTAAACTTCTGTTTACTCATCTGTACAATGAAGGTGTTGGAATCAATAAGGCCCCTTCCAGCTCCAACATGAGCTTTAATTTGGGCTTTCCCGAAGACATCAGTACATGACGGACTAAAACTCTGTGGTGCCAAAGGGGAAGTGGAATTGTTGAAGCTTGCCAAAATCAGGACTTGCTCCTCCTCATTCATTCCTTCAGGTGCAGACGACAGAGCTTTTAGAGTAGAACGCACCATGCCGGGCATTAGGAGAAATACAAAGACAAATGGGACATCCTTGTTCTCCGGGTGTACCTGGGGCTGCCTCCAGCTCCCACATCAGCATCTCAGGCTTGCCCTGCGGCCTGAGCCATGGGAAGTACCATGGACAGCCACTGCGAGGGCAATGAAGCTGGAGCGGAGACTGTGAAGATGGCGTCCCAAATGAATGTGGCCAGCCCCACAACTGCAACTCCACCCAGCTCCCTCCTTAGCTGCAACTGTTTTGACTGTCATTTCTCACTCATTTTCTTTTTTAAACTGATATAAAGTGCAGTAAGCAGAAGCAGGTAAGCAATATACTCCATCCAGAACAACAATGTAATTGGAAGAAAAAAGCCCATTGACACTGAATGCTTTTGAAATCATAATGGAAAAGCTTGGCCCTGAAGAACAGCTATGCAGAAATACTTCTCTACTCCCCTTCTTTGCAGAAGTGGGGGCCCATGGGGGTGGAACGTTGTTTGTAGCATCAGACTTTTAAACTATCGTTTAATATTTAGTTAGTTTTACAAACTTTCTCCAGTTAAAAAAAATTCTTTGTCACAAAAGAAGGGTTCTTAATGTTTTTTTTAATGTTAGAAATCTTTTCAGTAGATAGGTGTTTGGCTAAGCCTATGGTCCCTTTCTCAGAATAATGTTTTTTTTTTTTTAAATGCATAAAATACAGAAGCAAGAAGGAAACCAATTATACTGAAATACAGTTATCAAAATATAAAAAAAATTAACCTCAGTTATTAACCCCTGCTATAAAATATAGTTCTCTAGAAGGGAGAGGAGGGGAGGATGCAGTAGCAAACACAGGTGATACAAAACCAAAAGACAGCAATAAAATTGTATTTTAAAATTAAATACACTTGAGTTTTCTTCCACAAAATAACTAACATGGAAATGTTTTACATGTTTGCAGAAGTTTGGCTCATGTTAATGATCTTTGTTCTGTCAAATGATGATGTAATTTTCTAATTCTGGGTGTCAGGTGGACTGAAGTCAATTCTGTAAGGGACTACCACAAAGTTCCAAACCTGGAGGAGGAATGTGGTATCTTGAGACTTGGGGTTCACAGGGATAAACATTCTCCTGAAGAGACTGGGGACTACAGCAATCTCTGAGACAAAAGGTAGAATTGTATCACAGCTTGGAGTTCTTATAGAGACCCTCAAGTCTGGGCAAGACAGACTGGGAGGAACAGGTGGGAACTTCAACAGGTGAACAGCAGCAACACTGGGGACATGGCCTTCCCCAGAAAAAAATGGTGGCCCAGGAGCAAGATGAGAAAGCAGAAAGAAAATGCAGGACTGAGCAGAGGCAGAAAAGGGAGACTGAAGAGCGTCAATGGACCTTTGGGCATTTTAGAGCAGAAGATTCAGGCTAAAGTCACTGGTTTTAATTCCTGGGACTACCGGGAGTTCCAAGGACAGGTCTGCTCCTCTCCCAACTTCCCCTCTTGGTGCCTGTCCACGAACAGACACTAAACATGCCCCATGTGCATCTCTACTGAATTATGATTCAATCATGAAGAGGCTGGGGATGGAGAGAAACATAAATTCAAATGATGGCAGGGAGCAAAACTTCTACCCAAATATTAGGAATTTTTCTCTTAGTGTGTGCCTAATTTTTCATTTATTACCATCTCCATAAAGCAAGAGGAAGGAACCATTATGGATCTGAGAGGCTATTATAGAGGTGGGGAACCTGTGGCCTTGAGGCCACACGTGGCCCTCCAGGTCCTCAAATGTGGCCCTCCAGGTCCTCAAATGTGGCCCTCCAGGTCCTCAAGTGCGGCCCTTTGACTGAATCCAAACTTCACAGAACAAATTTTGTTTTTATGAGCCAGGATCTCTGGCTAACAATTCCATTTACACTTGTCATAACTAGTATTCTGACCCATTTAAGAAATCAAATTTGAGCTCCCTGCTGTGTATGCAGGGGGCTGATCGACAGATACTCCAGAAACGATCATCATGATGTCTCGAGATCCAACTTGTTCAGATCAAGGCTGTGTCATTTTTCTGCCTTTCCTTGGCAACCAGGGAATGCTGTCTCTAGCCTCCCCGCCCCCTGCCCCCCAGGCTATTGCTCCTGACTCTGCAGCTGCCTTGACCCGTTACCATCTTTACGTTACCATCTTTACCGGAGAAGGGAAAGCCGCTCCACTGGATTTTCTCTCGCCCCTGGTTTTCCACGGGTAGTGAGCCCTCTGCCACCCTGTTATGTGCCTGCCTATCATAAGGCTCCAGTTTGGCTCTTGGAATGGGACTTATCCCAGACTCTGTCGAAAGTAGCAGAAGTGTTTCTGGTCAGTCCCGCACAAAAACCTCTCAGCTGGGTGTGGAAGAATGAAACAGGGGTGGCAGGCTCATGGCTGGGGATACTTGGTGACCCTCTCTAAACACAGCACCTGAAAATGGGTCCAAAAAGACGAAATAGTAACAAAACAACCACAACAACAAAGCAGTTAACAGAAGCTTTAGATAGGGCAAAGGAAAGCAAACCTGAGCTTCAACAAAGGAAAACAATAGAGCCAACTAGCCACTTCCCATCCCCCCACACCTCACCTCCTGCACAGCTGGAGAGGTCTCTTTTCATGGCCATCTTTTGGAAGCCTTCCCCGTTCTCACAGCCTAGCCAGGTACCAGCTCATCACTCATTTCTCTCCTCCCACAGGGCCACTCCTCTGGTGCAGGCCCCCATCACCCCACCTCTGGGTGGCTCTTCCATCTCATCTGTCTCCCCCTCGAGTGCCTAGCAATGCCTCATTGTCTTTAGGATAAAAAATAAAACCCTGTCAGGCCTTGAAAACTCTTGACAACATGGCCCCTTCTCACTCGCCCAGTTTTCTTGCACCTTACTCCCCTCCACTGATCACTGGCTTTTTGGACGTTCCTGAACAGTATCCTACATCTGCCACCTCCATGTCTTCTCACTGGCTGGCCCCATTCCTAAGAACGTTCTCCCTCTTTGCCTCTATTTCCTGCTTCCTTCAAGTCTCAGCTGAGACCTCACCTTCTGAAAGACGTCCTTCCCAGTGGCCTCCATGGACGGACGGGGCCTCCCTCTGGTTCACATGTCATCTTGTACATGTCCTTATTGGTGGGATGCTTCCCCAACAGAATGTAAGCTCTTTGAGGGCAGGAATTGCACTTGTGCCTTTCTAATCTCTAACGCTTAACATGGTGCTTGGCACATTATTAAGTGCTCAATGAATGCTAGTTGACTGTGTGATGTTCACCTCCTCACCTCATACAAGAAGCCCTGGCCTAGATAAGCTTCTAGGATGCCTTCCAGATCTAAATCCGTAAGCCTAGCTATCAATCAGCCAATCAATCAACTGCCTAGGGTATACCTACCAATGTGCCAGGAAGGAAGGAAGGAAGGAAGGAAGGAAGGGGAAAATGCATTCATTAAGTGCCCACTAGGCATCAAGCACCATGCTAGGGATACAAAAACAGTCTCCAACATCAAGAGTTTTCTTTTGATTGTGAGAAGCCACGCTGCACACACAAGTAGCAACAAAATGCAAGCACAATCAATATGAGGTAATTGAGGCACAAAGCACTAAGAAAAGTGGGGGCAGGGCACAGTCTCTTACCAAGCATCTGGCTTATTCACCTGTCCCATTAATCAAATTTGGAATAACTCTCAGCAGTGTCTGAAGATCCAAAGCTGAAGCTTTGGTCCCACTGAGGACAAGAAGGTCAGGGAGTTTTCACATGAAGTCGGATCAATGAAAATCTTCCCTAGGATACAGTGAGCAGCAAACGGCCGAGACACCCGTGGGGATCACTATGAAGAAGATGTTCACCAGAACGTGCATGTTTAGATTCTTATGGCTGAAAAATATCTCTCCTTCCCCCAGCATCGCATTTTACTCCCATCATGGCTGTAGCCACAACAAAGAAAGAATCACACTGACAGAATTTTTTGAAACTTTTTCCAAAAAAAAAAAAAAAAAAATTTTTTTATTTTTATAAATTAACACATATAACAGTGGGAATTTTAGAATCACAAACTACCAAACAGAAATGAAACTGCAAGGGGCATGATTGATGCCAATGTTACCAAAAATGTACAAATTTCACTGAACTATTTCTCATGATAAGATAGAAACACTTTATTCAGGCAGCTACTGGCCCTGTCCAGCACAGAGGTGCTGAAACACATCACCCAGAAGTCCAATGCAGCACCAAAGGTGCTTGTGGAAATGCTAAAGCAACAATTTGGACCATCAGCCTACCATCTCTCCCCCACCCCACCCCGCCCCACCCCACCCACCAGGAAATCCAGACAACTTTGGGGGCTGGGTTTGTGGCTCAATGAATACTAAACTCTGATTTCCTTCAGCTGAAGCCTCCTCCAGGGTCGGGTCCAGTGACTGGACAAGGAGTTCAGCTCTCCTGGCAGGGAGGGTCCCTTCCTGAGAAGGTACAAAGGAAAGGACACTTCTACCAATCCTGTGTAATGCTTTGGGTAAAGCCACCTGCAACGTGGTACATCCGAGGTCCTTTTACAGACACCAGAAGAAAGCTTAAAAAATATTTTCCCACAGGCATTAAAGGAAAAAAACAAAACAAAACAACTGCCTATTTTTCCCCTGCCTCCAAGTGACAAGAGAAAAGCATCATTGCCTAAAGGTTGACCTTAATATATATATATAGTGTTTAATGAAAGAAGATGAAATCTTCTCCTGGAGACAGAGAGGATGACTCTAGAGCTGCCACCCCACAGCCCACCTACAACCTATGATTGGCTGCACCCCAGCCCCCATGGGTGGTGCACACAGGCCAATCTTGGCAGAAGCAGGGGGGACCCAAACAACAGATGTCTCAATGCTTCTAAGTTAAGCTGGTTCCGGCTCCAGCATGCCCTTGAGGCAAAAGTGTGACCAAGTGTCATGATTTTCACAGCTGGGGGGGGGGAGGGGGAGGGCATCATGTTTTGGGATTCACAGCATGAGTTTCTGAGCTCGTTGGGCTCCGAATAAGGCAAATGCTACATGTCTCTTCACTGTACCCCCCTCAGTAAGACAACACAGACATAATCGGCTTAAATGAGGTACTTTCACACCAACAGAGAAATGAGACTGGAAAGGGGCAAGGGATGGCATGGAGGGGGAAAGCCAGCTATGAAAGGTGACAGCAGAACCCTGCTCAGACCGGAGATTTCTCCATCCCACACAGAAAACACTCAAGCCCCGGAGTGATCCAGGCCACCTGGGGCAGAAGACCTGGTCCCAGGCGTGGGCAGCGTGGGCCCCAGGGGCTGTAAAGCCTGTAGACCTGAAGACAGGTGTGGCTAGCATCCCAGATCCATCAACTTCCTGGGAGTGATTCAAAGCCTGACCAGAGACTTGGAGGTGTGGCAAAGACCTCTAGGTGGAAGCCTTTTCTAGCCCCTTTCACCATTAGAGCTGGGGGTGGGAGACCAGGCAGGGGGAGCCCTGAAGAAAGGGAAAGTCAGACGACTGAGAAATAACCAGGTCTGCCTGGGCACACAGTGCAGTGGGCCCCTGGATCCATCCCCTCCACAGTGCTGCCAGAGCTTCACCAGCCCCAATACCTGGCCATCCGGCCCTCACAGGTGCCACTTCTGGCGGTGCTAAAGCTGGAATGACATCTCTAATTACATCATTACAGACACTGCTGCAGTGTCTGCCTCCTGGTCCATCAAGTGGCATGGCCCTGGCATCTTCCAAACTCCAGACACCACCACCGCATCTGACAACATGGTCCCACTGAAACAAGACTGCTAGGTAGGGGGGCTCCCTGAAGAGAGGCTGGGAAGGGCACACACTACTCCTCAAAGGTAGTGCATAGAGAGAGGGGAGCTTAGAATCAAGAGACCTCCACCCTAGGCAGAGGTATCAAGGAGAAATGCAGGTCCTGATGATACAGGCCTCTAGAATTTGGCTGGTCCACAAGAGAAAGGCCTGGGCCTGTGGTGCAGCCATGTATGATACGGAGTTGGTCCAACTGGGGGGGTCTGGTCCCATTCGGCTGTAGCGGATGTCCTAGGTCTCTATGTCTAGGCTGGGAGCTTCCAAGGGAAAAAGCCCACGCTCTCCCTTATTGGCACAGAGAAGCAAACTCCCTCTCTACCTGACCCTAACAAGCGAATCCCTTGTGGGTATGTGAGACCTAGCAGGTGAGTCTCGTATGCCCCTGGAGGCTTGCTGTGTGCAGGTCTCAAGGCACCCCAGCAGAGATGGGAAGGAGATGCTAGGAGTCTGGAGGACAGGGGGGCACCTCATTCACTGGCTGAGAACCCCAGCTCTCTACACTGCTTTCATAGGAAGACCTGCTTATGAGAAAGAAATGCAGAGGGGAAAGGAAGGAAGAGGGCCAAGTGGATTAAGTGGAGAAGATGGCAACCCTCTGACCAAATAACCACGTAGGCACTAAGGAGGAGCCAACAGCTAGTGATCCCTCTGCCTCTCAGCAAAGCTTCAAGTATGGTTCACAAACACAGTGACCCAGACACCGAGTGTCCTTGCCTGGGGCCAATGAGGGCTGGCTTCCCTGAGGCCCATGACTTTTCACACTTAGACACTTAGTGAGTAATAAGCCTTTCAACCCAGGCAGCCCCAGGGATTAAGTCTGCCATCACCTTCATTGTTTTGGCCATAAAAACAAAGTAAAATCCCATCTGATCCTAGTATATTAAAAGCTAACTGGAGAAAAACCTGCTCTTTGACCCGAAGTCCATTCACTTGGAGGGTGAAAGAGGATACAGCTTCCCACTGCCCTGTGAGAGACTGGGTCAGAGACACATTACATATTGAACAGTCTTTGCTTAAAACAGATAATTGCCTTTCTCCTCCACATGTCAAAAAATAAAAATAAAACAAAAATCACATTTAAAGGCTCCCAACATGCAGCAATAATAATAATAATTAATAATAATAACAATGACAACAATAACAATAAAAAGAGGAAACACCACAACATTGAAAAGTGCAACTGACTTGGAATGGTGCCTTGTTGGGCTCCTCTGGTGCCAGTGACCAAGGCCACCAGCAGGTAGGGCAGGTGGGGTGGGGCGGGGCAGGGCTCTGGGTGGAAGGCAGGCCACACACACAGAACCCAGGTCTAAGCCGACTCATTCCCAGGATTGAAGAACATAATCAAGGACAAACCATTCCCCAACTCCTCTGGTGAAGTAGGGGATCCCAAGAACAAGGTAATTTAGCTTCTGCGACTAGCACCGCTGTAAACAATGGAGAGTCCACAGGGACGTGCAAAATGAGTGGGTGGGTCCTGGGAATCCTAGTGTTATCACAGAAGGAGGGCTGCTGCCTGGCCCTGGGGAGGTCCCAAGGTGGCAGGAGAGGGCAGGCCGGCCTTCCTGAGGCCCTCCACTCAGCAGCAAAGCAGAGCTGCTCAACCATACAAGAGATGTCTGCACCTCATTAACCAGGGATCCCTCATGCGGGTTGAGTGGTTTCAATGACCGGGAAAAGCCAAGGGATCCTTGCCAAGGAGGTCCGAGAGAAGGACCAAGACAAGGCCCCCAAATTCCTCCACGGACTTCTCAGCAGCCTGACGTCGGCTCCTTTTCTCCCTCCTTGGCAAGGAAGGCCTCCAGGTCCATCAGTTTCTGAATCAAGAGGGCGTCCAGCTCTCGGCTTTGGAGGGCAGCCTTTTTTGCCCTGGTAAAGCTGCCCGTCGCTTTGATCTTACCACGATTCCTCCTCTTCCGAGGGACAGTAAAATCCTGGAACTCCAGGACCCGCTTTCTCTTCTGTTGGCTGATGGAAATGAGCGCCCCATTTCTCTCTTTGGGCTCTTCAAAGATAGTCTCTAAACACCTGGAGATCAGGGGATCAAGATGGAACCATCAGCCCTGTACTACGGGTTCCCCACTTCTTCCCCTACAGACGCTCTGACTGGGAAGGATCCTCAAGGACCAGGGCTGGCAGGTCACACCTGTTGCTGGGCAGGAATCCCTTTAAAATAACCCTGGGAAGACCCTCAATGAAGAGGAGCCCGCTGCCTCCCGGGGGGGGGGGGGGCCCATTCCACTTCTGGACAGCTCTGATTGTTACCACATCTGTCCTGACACTAAACCTAGACTTGCCTCTTTGCAGCCACCACCCTCGTCCCTGGTTTCACAACCTGAGGCCAATTCTGGCTATCCTGATTGTCCTCTGCTGGACGCGTCCTGGCTGCCCAACGCGCAAGGATTTGGAGAGTACTCCCGTTGTGGCCTAACGTCATGGTTTTTAGTCTCAGCTGCCAGGCTGTTATTATTGCTATCATTCCTTTGCCCTTGGGCAATGTGGAGGCAGGACCTATACTGCCTTCATTTCTCATCAGCCTGGTGCTGGTACATTCTGGGCCCCAGGAAGAGTCATTTGGCTCTAGCCTCGGCCCTCTTGTCAACTTCTGCTCATACCCAGCTAGTACTTATTCGAACTGTTCCACCCCCTCACCATCCACTTCTTGCAATGCAGGATGGGAGCAATGCCTCGGGAGCACACTTCTGCATTTCCCAATGACCACAGCTGCTGGAGACCACTCTTCTAAACTAGGACCTTAGAGAGAGATGGCTCGGCCTTGCATGCTATTTCCCTAAGCCCATGGGACATACCTCGATGCAGGAGGGGACTTGTAATTTTTATTGGTGTATATTTCTTCCAAACTGAATTCCTTCTTCTTCAGCCTGAAAGAAGAGAACATGGGTCCACCCTGCAGCCTCATCCTCATCTTGCTTATGGGCGGAGCCATTCCCAAAGCCCTCCCATGAGCAGTAGTTTATCTAATCCCCAAAGTCATTGGGTGAGGAGCTGAATGCTGCCATTCTCATTTTCTACAGAAGGACAGAGGGGACGGAGCTGGGACTAGAACCCGAGGATTCCTACTCTTGGTCAGGTGTTCTCTGCTCACACAACAGGAGACCTCTCCTGCATGAAGACTCAACCCCTTAGAAGAAAACCTATTTCCCCCAAATAGGGCAACAAGGGAGTCTGTGCCCACTAAAGGAGGAGAGAGGATAAGTAGGGGCTGAAACTGTCTGTTTCCAGGGCATCATGAAAGTGGCCCAGAGTTCCATGGGAAGACTGAGTGAGTGGTTGCTTTGAGTGGACCCAGATTTTGCTCCCCTTCTCCCAGAAGGGGGCGAGTGGAAAAGAGGGGAGGAGTCATCAGATACAGCCACAGTGCTGATCTGCTGAGCACAACTGACAGTATGTGCCAGCCAGCTTGGTTGGGGTCAGTTCCCTGCTCAGAATAGCTCCCCCTCCCAGGCTACCGAAACAAGCTGACTGGCTCTTCTCACACTTAGCGCTTATGACGAAGCTTACCTAGGTGTCCCAGAGATGATCAGCTAAGGAAATGTTCTCTTTACTTAATAAAAAACAGTAATAATAAATGAAGGCCTATCTAAAGGACTCGACTGAAGAGGGAAGGAGTTTTAAGGGGTCAAAACACACCGGGCAATGGTTGTTAAACTACACCCACAGCAAGAAAAGCAAAGAGTCAATTAAAATTCTTAACATTCTGCTATTTCCCAGAATAAGAACATGACGAGTTCTCTCCTAACTCTCCTAGGCAGTGACAGTTCAGCTCCCTTTGGGCAGCCTTTCCCAACAGTTTTACATTTCAGCTGTGGCTCTTCCTGGGCCAGGAACCAGGACGTCAGCACGTGGAGGTGACCCCAAGGTGGATCACAGTCTCGGCTGCTCCCAGGCTCTAAGACTCTTTACTCACCTCTTGGGTCGAGGCAGTCCCATGGGGGTGAGGTTGGGGTCTGGCCTAGGAATGGTTTTCCGGATTCGAATCTGTGACACTTTTTTTGGCCGCTTCTCTGACTCAATCTGTTTTTAAGGGTTAGGACAGAGAGAAGAGATGGTAAAGAAAAAATAGTAACAAAAACCAACAAACATGCAAAGCAGCTTGGTAGGTGCCTAAGGTGTCATTTCACTGGTTTCCTGCATTACTGGGCCCAACAAGCAGCCAATCTGTGCCCCAAGAGGCTGTCACCGGCCCTGTCAAATCCTACCTTATACAACTGAAACACAACCTCACGATGCAATTGGGAAATGTGGAACAGGAAGATTCCTTACAGACGTTCCTCTGTTTTGTGCTCTCTCTCTCACCCACTGGGGAGCCCACCAGAGCACAAGGGCATGGCAGAGGTAAGACTGGCAAAGGAGAGCCCCAAGGGCAGCGACGCTGCGCTCTGGGGGAGGAGGCAGCCAAGCAAACGGGGACAGCAGCTCTGAACCTCTGGACGTACAGAGCTCACACGCTCGCTCCATTTCACCATGTGAGCGGTCTACTGCCAAACGATACGCTCAGACAAGAACTCGCCAGGAACGCCAAGTGAGACCGCATCTCTCAGTTGGGCCAGAAGAAGGCCAAGACCGGCAGCAGTAGGGCCGGCACCCAGGAGGAGCTCAAGGGGCATGAAGGGTGCCCAGGCTGTGATCAACAATGACTGTCTCTACCTGTGGTCAGAGCACACCGGGACCTCAGTGCCTACCAAGGCCAGCCCCGCCCAGCCCCCAGACAGATGCCCCTCTAACAAAAAGAAGAGAAATCCACTATGTCGCGAGGCAAACTGTTGCTTTTTCTGGACAGTCCTGACCATTAGGAAATTTTTCCTCTCTGAAGCCTTCCCCTGACATTCCTGGTTCTGCCCTCTGGGGCCAAGCAGAACAAGGCTAATCTGTGTACCACATGGGAACTCTTTGGACAACAGGGACAGGGGGCATCATCCCCACTTACCTCTTTCTGGCTGGCACTACTGTGCTGACTGGTGCACACCGCAGGGACTCTCCTAAGTTCTTTGAAAGCAGGAATCTGGAAGTCAGAGGCTGAAAGCCGGAGCACACTGACCACTGGTTCAAAGGCTAAGCGGGACTTTGGTACCAAAGCAGAGAATGGAGATCCCAGCCTGAGACAATGGGAAAGAGAGAGAAGGAAAGCATTAGAGATGACCACTCCTTACTTCTATCTAGCCGAAGGGTCCACAAAATACAGGCTACTTGTTTTTGTAGGACCCCTTGAATCAAGAAGGAGTTTGCCAAGCCCTATTCTAGCCCGTCGGAAATCCACAGCAGGGCTGGAGACATGATGAAATGGTGGCACCCCTGGAATTTGCCAAGTTCTAGCCCACCACCTCTCAGAGAGAATACCTTGAGCCCCCTAAAGGAGCCTTCCACAAGCTATACGCCAGCAAATATGCACAAGATGTTAAGAACACCTCCAGAAAACCTTTACAAAGTGCTTTCTCCTAACCGCCCGTGAGGCACGAAGCACCAATCTTTATCAATCCCATTTTAGAGGAGAAAATGTAAGGCCCAGGGAGGGGAAGCCAAAGTCCTTGGTGAGGAGGGGGCAGAGTCAGAGAACTAAGCCAGGTCTCTGACCCCCCTGTAGAGCGCTCTCTGTGACCACCACCTAGCCAGAATGGACGACTTCCAAGTTCATTTCACCTTTTAGAGGAGGTAAAAAAAGGAGCTCCACAGCTGGAAGTATCTTTTGTAATGAGGAAGGGTTATGGAGCACTGGACAGAGACAGTGCTCAGGTGATACACCTACCTGATGGAGAAGGTGGGCTAAGCCCGCGTTTCATGTCAACAGGTGTTGTTAGACGGGCCACCCAGTACTCACGGAGGCTTCTTCACTTAATGTTTTAAACTATCCAAATTCATCCCTGATTTGCCCCTTTCCCTCTGGGTAATGCACAGCACACTGGGGCCCCCAAGTCCCCCCCATCATGGGTGGTGGAGAACAGATGGCAGGAGGCTTACCTAACTGGACTGCCTCCGGTCCTAGCAGTGGTGGCTTCCATGCCCAACAGAGGCACGTGTGGTAAGACGGCATGGCTGGCGCAAGGGAGAAAAAGCATACAAGCAAGCAGGTCAAGGACATGGAACAACGGGGTAAAAAATGCAATCTCTAGAGTGGTTTTAAACCCTAAAGAAAAAGTCTGGCATCCTAAAAAAACAAAACAAAAAAGAAAGAAACCCAACAAAAGCAACCAAGAGAGTGTCCACGGGCTGGGTGTTCCTGGTAGCTCGGGCAGGCTGGTCATGGTCCTACGTTAGAGCTCATAAAGAAAGGAGGCCTGAAGATGAAAGAAAAGGGAAGAGAAGGAGCCAAGCGTGAGCGTGAGGGGATGGGAGGGCAGCACTGGCAGACTCAGAGCACGCCTTATTAAACTCAAGACTCAAGGAAAAAAAAACGATCCAAAGATGGCGTGCGTAGACAGTGCCTGCTCAATGGGCACGCCTGTCCGTACGTGGACAATCTGCTTGTGATTTTCTATCTGCCTTATGGATGGTAGAGGAAACCCAGGCCGATCTCTGAGGAAGAGGAGTGGGCCAGGAGCTGCCCGCAGGGCTGTCACCTTTCTGATTAAGCAGCTATTTTTACCAACACACCAAAAATACTCTGCTCTGTAACTGGGGAGGGCCCTGAAGCTCTCCCAACAGAGGGAGTTCATTATCCTTCCTGGAGAAAATAAAATTTTTATGACCTCCAGAATACTCTTCTCATTACTGAGGCACTTAGGGGATGCCTAAAAACAAATTCCTCCCAATAGCTCTTGGTACATGAAAGCCCTTCATGGTAAACCTGAGTTACTGCTGCCGCTGTCCTTAGTCACACAGCAGCATGAGAAGACAACTGGCCGCACCATTCCAGGACCCCATCCTACCCCTGCTCCTCTCCCTCCCAGGGGTGGGCGAGCCTCGGGCTGCTTACATCTCTAGGCCCGGTACATAAAATGACGGGTGCACACTATACCTCTAAGTCTCCTTGCTGCTCTAAATAATTTCTGTAATCCAGTGGGAGAAAACCAAACCAGGCATTGACAAAAAAAAGGCATGAAAGTCTTTGTCCACACAAAATTTTAAGGCCCCTTGAGGTCAGTCCCATCACTAAAGTAACAATCCTATGATCTGCGTTAGTAAATGTTACTGAGGTCTTGGGTAAGGCAGTTACACTCCATGTTTCTCATTTCTAACCCTGACCATATGTTTCAAATGGTGATTGTGATTGTATCTGCCTGTGCTATCTCACAAAGGGATGGCAAGGCTCAAAGGAGGTTTTTGAAAACATAACAACATGAGACACATGTATATTAATGACTGATGGAAGCTGTGGCTGTCCAAAGCTATCCATACCACTGGGTTAAAAAATTGAGATCATCAGTATTCACATGCCCTGCTTGGGGAAGGCATCAAATCCTCTAATAGGTGCCTATTAATTAATTAAAGGAAAAGTCTTTTGAAGTGCATAGATGGAAACGTGAGTTCCAGACTGAAGATTAAGAAATAATCTCTCAGCCCTGGCGAGGAACTTTGAGGGACCTTTTTGAAAAGCACATGGCAGGATGGGAACCCTTAATGACTGGTAAGGATCTGAAACTAAGGAGAAACTCCCTTGTCCTCACAGGTGTCATGGTGGCAGAACAGCCTCTTTCTCCCTGTCCCTCCCGGTGAAAAAAGCCCCCAAAGGCCTGTCCATCATAACTTTAAGAATCAGAGACGGAGGCAGAGAAATCAACAGGAGAGAGAGAGACAGAGAGAGACAGAGATGACAATATGAGTGAGTGCGCCAGTTTGGGAGAGGAGATCATATGGAAGAAAAAGAAGCCAGGTCAGCGGTTCAGCCAATTCATACCATGGCGAAATGATTAAATGTGGACCCAAACTCAACCCGGAGACGCTTCCAAGAGTTTAACAGACTTAATGGCTCATACTCTGTGTGAGAGAGAGGTCAGAGGCACACAGACAGTGCAGCTTCTGTCAAACTCCTCAACTTGATTTGTTCCCGAGGGATCGGTCAATAAATGGGCCAGCTCACAGGGCACAGGCCACAAGGGCCTGACCCCAAAAATCTCAGCTAGCATTTCTTCATTCAGCAATTGCTCCATTCTCAGGATCTTTAAGGAACAGAACCCTGAGGTTCTTGGGGGCTACTTTTGGGCTTTTGTTTTCTTTTTTAAAATTGTTTTTCTGGTAAGCCCCCAAAACTGCCAGGCCCAGAGAAAACATCCTGGAATTGACAAATTCTGAAACATTCTGGATTGGCTTGACAAAACCTGAATGAGCTTTCTCTACAACACAAGGGACATTAACTAAGCCTTGGCTCCTCAGAACTTTTAAAGGGTTGAGGCGGTACGTTTTTAAAATTCATCTATTTAAGAACAGGTTTCCTAAGTGAGAAAATGTTTGCTTACTATAATTCAAGCGACTTTAACAAACTTTAAAAGTGCCCACTATGTGCAGGGCACCAGGAGTACAAAGCCAACAAATAATCAGTCTCAGCCCGTGAAGAGCTTACATTCTATTCCAGCCACCAGAAAATGGTGGACACGGAGGAAGAAGATATTGTAAAACTTTTGTGCTTTAACATCCAATGTTCTTTTTTTTTTAATGAATCAGAAGGTAGAAAGCCAGGCCAATTACTAGGGAGAGCAGAAGTCACCATTCAATTTCTCCTTCTCTTAAGTTTTCAAGAACAATGACCAAATGTAATAGATGAGACAATTCCCAACCATGGTGGAGGGAAGTGCTGCCCTCTGAAAGGACAGCAAGGGAACTCATCTCCAGGCCTGTCGCAGCTCAGATGCTGCACAGTGAATCCTTCAAACCTCTTTTCTAGATTAAAAAAGTTCACGAGCTAAATTCCATCATACTTGGATAATGAAAGTTCGGAGATCTCTGAAGAAAGGTGCTACTATAGAGATCATGTATGTGAGGCACGGGGCAAACCTGAAAGTGCTTTATTGTTATTATTACTGTACTATCTCATCTTTTCTGATGGGGTGCAGATGAAAACAGTCATAGGATGTCATTTTATTATTGATTTACTATTATTATCTCTCATTGACACATTATCAAGTGCGTATATTCATGTTGAGTTTGGGCAGGAAGAGAAAAAAATATGGAGAAAAAAAGAAAGAAAGAAAGAAATGGGAGTTTCAAGGGTGAAAAGAATCCAGGAAATAAAATCAAAAAAAGAAGAGAGCCCTTCTGGGACAAGAGAAGGAATCTAGACAGGACTTCTTCTTGGCCTTTCTCTGCAGAGTTGGCCAGGTTATCAGAAGAGGAAGGTAGAAGGAAAAGGCCAGAAAAGAATCCTGAGCTTCCCACTTAAACTCAGTCCCCAACTCCTTTCCCCAACGGCAGGGATTATACACTGAACATTTGCAAAATAAAAAAAAAAAAAAAAGCCGACAGACTTGGACATTACCTGTTCCTGATGCCCAGAGTTGGCGGCCACTTGCTGTGTTTGGAATGGAGAGGAGTGATTTCGAAGGGGCAGGCAGAAGGACCATGCTGGCTCCGTATGGACAGTACCCTGCCCACTGAGTAGGGCAGAGAAGGGAAGAGACTGTTGGACAGAGATGCTGGAGGCCTTAACCCTTTGAAGCCCTGTGTAAACTGAGTCATGAAGAGCCTCTGGATGGTAGGCAAATGGCTGGATAAGCTCCTTTTTCTCGTCCAGATCCTATAACACCCAGGGGAAGAAAGTGCTAAAACTGTATGAAGGCCAAGGACAGAGCAACCAGCTCTGACCTTCATGATAGCATTGCTTCCAGGGGCTTGCTCGGGGGAGAAGGTCTGCAGAGCAGCATGGGATAGCAGCTCACAACCGAGCCCATCTTCTTCCCTGAATGTGGCTGTCCCTGAAGAACCCTGGGACATAAGGAAGGAAAAGGTCCACTTTGGAAGCTGAGGTGGGTGTGTGGGATCCTCTCCTGGGACACTCTCAGGAGGGGAGCAGTGCTCAGAAAAAATTCTTGTGGAATCAGTTGTGAGCTCTGAGTCCAGGTTTATATGAAAGGATATTGGGAAGATTTGGGCACTGAATTGCAATGACGGCATTTTGTTCATCAAGTCTAAGAAACCTACTCTGAGGGCTTCGAGGGGATAAAGTGCCAAAGTCTGACTGTCAAGTGTCTTGTTGCACCCATAATCACCTGTGTGTAGGTTTAGCTGCATCATATTGTAGGGAGATTCATCCTGGAGCTTTATAAACCTGAGCCGTTTGTAGGTCTCAGCCACCGGAAGAAGTTCAGCAGAGCATGACTGAGATCCTAACTCTTGGGTTGCCGTGGACGCGGCCAGCAGCTTCCCAGCCAGAACAGACAACTTGTTTAGCAAGGCCGACTCTTTGGTAGGTTTCTGAAGTCTCATGCTGTTCAGCAGAAGGCGTCTCATGGCTTTCGGCTTGGGCATGTGATTGGCCTCTGAAGCCGAGGACGGAAGGGCAGCAGAGGACCAGGTGAGGACTTTGTGTTCTTTGACAGAGATGGTTTCTGAAGCATTCTTTAGAGGAACACACTTTTGGACATCATCCATTTTTCTTCCAGTTTTGATGGGCTCATGGTAAGTGATGGTTAGCCCTTTCTTTAATGGTAGAAGAGATATTCTTTGATATGGGGTCATCGCAAAGGTATTGTGTGTTTCCTCACATCCAGTACCAGTGATATCTTGGGGCATCACTCTGGAGATGGGGAGACGGGGACCTAAAGGCGACTCAGTGTTGGGCTGTAAATGAAGAGCTCGTCTTCCTGCCTCTAAACCATCCACTTTTAGAAACTGAGGAAAAGGCTCATTCTTGTACACCTTGGCTCCTGTGATATCCTTCAAAGTGCTCTGCTTATGTGCATGTCCCTTACGGTGGCTTTGACTTGCCAAGTCTTGTAACGATGGGCCCACTGTTGGTCTGATACAAGGCTTGGCATTCGGTGACTCTTCCTGCTGGGAAAAGGTTCCTCTTTTCTTTGGCTGCATGCCCTCCTGCCCTCCTTTACACCTGCAGCCCTGGACAATTGGGGCTTTCCGTGTTTCAGTTTCTCCACATATCCTCTTTCGTTTAAAATATGGCCTATAAGCATCTGAACTCTTATCACCACCATCTGCTCTCCAAGTTTTGCCTTCAGATTCCTCTCTGACTCGTAAATCATTTAGTGTTCCTTGATGTTCTCCAGTCTCTCTTCTGTCCATTTTATTTCCTGGATTCAGTTCAGAAGATGAAGGTGCCACACTGGAGACCAGCTCTGGCTGAAATGTTCCTGGGGTGCCTCTTTTGCCTCTGGTATCAATGTTAGGTATTCCTCTTTTCTTCACCTTGGTCTTCACTGTGCTGCTCCTTACAAGTTCGGGGAGCACTTTGACATTTACTGATTCAGGAAGCTGTTTTGTTTCAGCTTTTTCACCCAGGGGACCATCTGGACCAGTGGCTGAATTTTCGAGGGAAGATATATGCAAAGGCATTGTCTCAACAGATCCTAACACAGGCTCTTTGGAATAAACTTCTAAGGAATCTTCATCATCAAACGCAGAATTCCTTTGTGGTCTTAACCCACCAGTTGTCCCTTCTGTCTCTCCTGGAAGCACTTCTTCAACAACTCTCCAGCGATGAGTGCTCTCTAACAACACACTCATGGTATCTGACAACTCTGTATTTTGCTCATGATTGTTAACAGATTCCATCCCATGCGTCTTACTCTCCCGGCTCACCTCATTACGAAGGTTGTTATCTCTCTGTTCAAATGATGGTGTCCCTTTATGAGATGGTACAGTTTTCAGAGATCTCTTATTAAAGGAATCAGAAGCACACGGTAAAATAGAGTCCTGGTCAATCAGTCCTTCTCCTCCTTGAGACTGGTCACTCCTCAAAGGCCTGTCTGGCTGAAGCCAGGAGGGCTCCTCTTTCCTTCTGTAACTACCAGCAGAATCAGATTCTTTCATTTCCGACACCTTTTCTCTGAGCTTATTACCAAGCTGAGTTGGATCTGCTCTGCACACAGTAAAGTCTTCATTACCTAGGTAAGTTTTAAAAATATTTTTCTTTGGAAGACTACGAGATGGTTGGATGTTGTTTAAGTCTTTAACTAGCAGTTCTTTGTGACTGGAGCTCAACCTTTTGTTAGGTTTTGCAACATCTTCACACTTATGACTATCAGTGTGTTGGACTTCAAAGATTCCCATGCCATGATGTTTGGTCTTGGATGATTTACTTTCACTCCAGCATTCAACTGCACCATTAAGGTCACTCTGGCAATTAAGGCCTTGATCTGTCCCATCTGCTTGGTTTGTAATCCTAACACTTGAGCGTGCTGTGGTAAGACACAAGTCCTTCGGCTCTTCAGGACTTGGAATGTTTGAGGACAGCTTGCTTTCTAAAACAGTATGTCCAGGGGGATGGGATTCGCAAGGTAACGCCGTCTCCTTACTGTGTGTTCCCAGTTTATTTTCTTCTAAGCCTGTCTTTCCGGCTGATCTTGCTATGAAATTTCTAGGCTTAGCATGGCTCAAGGCAAGCGTGCTTTTGTTTAAGGCTCTGTTGAGTAATGAACATGAAGCCACTTCATTCTTGATCTTGCCTTCTTGAAGACTATCTTCAATTTCTTCTTTAGAAAGTTCATTTTTCCCCAAGGGACGTCTCACACTGAGGATGCTTCTTACCAGACTACTTCCCGTTTCTGGAAAGGGAGGATCACGGGGTACCAATATGTCTTCAGAGGTCAACACAGACTGATTCTCAGCTTCTGGGGAGATTGCAGTGGATTTGTAGGTAACACCCTCTGAGCACATGTCCCCTTCTGGGGCATTCTCATGTCTCTGGTGGCTGTGACATCCCTGAGACTGGGCACTTTCATGCTCTAAGTCAGGAGCCTCTTCAGATAATTCTGCTACTTCTTTTTCAAGGCCTGACACGACCGCCAGTTTTCCTATGACTGGGTTGTTTGGCACCCTATTGAAGCTTACTGCTTTAGCACTGACATCGTGATTCTCAGAAGAGGCACGGCAGGTGGTGGCACCTGGGCAGAAGGCATCCTTCCCTTTTCTCATGTGGGTCAGAATGGTTTGCTGGTTGGCAATGACCCTGACTCCATCCTCCAACACAGAGCTAGCCAGTTGCTGAGAAGCCTCACTTGTTCCCTCTTCTGCATGACCACCTAGAGATGACTCTTGGGGAGCTGTTGCTCCCTTGTGGTCACGAGCATAGAAGGACATCTTTCCAGATAAGACACGTAAAAGCTTCCCTTTGTCTTCATGGGACTCAGCGGGATACGAAGCAAATCTCTGTCCATCTACAAATGGAATAACAGCCTTACTTGAGATTCCTATAATTTCTTTTCCCTCAGGCTGGTCAGCAAGGTCACATTTTTGGTCCCTCTGTAGCTGAGGAAGAACACTTTTGACCTCTGAGACTTTACTTACAGACGTGGGTGGTTCATCTGGCACAGAACAAGCAGTGGGGTTTCTCTTCTCAGTGCAGCTCCCTAGGCCTCTCCGGCTGCTGACCAAAGAACCAGGATTCTGACCGTCAGCATTCTTGCCTGATACACCTGAGTGCCCAGAGAGCGTCTTTTCTGATTCTTCAGTCTGCATCACCAAGGAGTCACTTTCCTCTATGGAGTCTTCGTCTTGGTGTGTAGCACAAGGGCAACTTACTCTCTTGCCTTCATGTTTTTTGAAATTCTCTTGAATTTCTGAAGGGCCTTTCATAGGATCTTCTTCTGAAGGAGAACGAGAGTTCTCTTGTTGGGGACTTCGAGTCCCCTGACTGGGGTTGTGAATGCAGCAGCTATCAAGGGCACATCCTCGTCGACCACTGGCATAGTTCAGAGGAGGCGTGCTGCTCTCTTCTGCTCCTGGCTCGGTGTCGACAGCAACTTTGCTACTTTTGCTCCTGACACTCTGACCTCCTTCTCCTTCCCATCGAGAAGCTGGGCCTTCTTCTCTCGGGACCTCTCCAGTACAGACGGGCTTTTCCATCTTCTGCAGGGCATCTCCACAGCCACACTCTTCAAGGGAGATACTTCCAGACCCCACACAGCGTAAGCTCAATGGGAAACATGACCCTCGGGGGTCTGCTTTCAAAGGAAGAATGCCACCTTCCTTGCTCTTCGCCTGAGGAATGTTGGTCTTGGAAGGACTTTCAATGTCACAGCCACAGTTGTGCTGGTGATTGTCAACGGCTTCGTGGTCAAGGCTCAATCTGGATAGTATGTCTTCACCATACATTGGGAGGCTGGCACTGTCCTCTGGTGATGGCGGCCAAAGCGGACGAGCACTGGATGTCTCACATTCTTTTTCTGTTGAAGGCGCTTTTGTCAATCCAGGCTCCACAGAGGTTAAAGGCTCTAGGGACACTAGGATGCTGGTTTCTGAAACCTCACCACTGGTCATGATTTTGTCTACATCTGGGCAGTCGATGCGCCCAGGTGGGAGACTTTTACTCACTTTGTTACTCCTGGGTTCTGCATTACTAATCATCTTAGTCCCATTGACCTTCATACCTTGTCCTTCTTCAGTAGGGTTTGGCAGAGTTTCTGTTGTAACCTGTATGTTTCCTTGGTTTTCTTCTGCACAAGAGAAATGAACCCAAATCAGTATGACATGCCATTTCATAAAAATGCCCCAATCCTTTTGCTTTAATTTTATTAAAAACAAAACAAAACAAAACAAAAAACTTTATTGTGGGGCAGGAGAAGAGCGCTGGATCCAGAGTCAGGAGACCTGGGTTCAAATCCTGACTCTGCCACTTGATACCTGTGTGACCTTTCCAGTCCTTTATGTTAAAAACTAGCTTGCTAGCTGTTCCCTGTATTTGATGGTCCACCTCTAGCCTCTGTGCCTTGAAATAAGCGGTCTCTCAAAGCTAGAATGCAGTCCAAACCCTTTACCTCTTAGAATCCCTGTGTTGCTTTAAAGTCTAATTTTAAAGAAGGTACCACCTCCTACACGAGGTAGTCTTGTTTGCAAGTGCACCTTGAACACATTCACCTTGAAACTGTTTTGAATATATCTGTGCTCATGTTGTATCCACCCAGTTGGATGGACGCTCCTTGAGGGCAAAGACGGTTTCATTTTGATTTTTGTATCTTCAGTGCTTGGGACATAAAAGGCATTTAATAAATGTTTGTTTGTTTACTGACCTCTCTGGGCCTGCGTTTCCTCATCTGTAAAATGACAGAGCTGTACTAGATAACCTTAGACGTCCTCTCCAATTCTAAACCTACGCTCTCCAGTTCCGTTCCTCGTGACAGGGCAAGAAGTATCCATCACGTGGATACTTCTACTGCTACACTTGGCTAAGCCACAGGGCCAAAGTTGGAACCGGCAGAGTCTCTATATAACACACTAACCATCACATAGATCTGCCAGTTCAGCTTCCCCGAAAAAAGAAGTAAATACATAAATGGCTCAAGTAAGGTGGGCCCTCCTCCTTTCCCCATGCCTGATAATACCTTTGAACAGATTAAATCAAGGAGTCTCAAAGGAGGTCACAGGCCCACTAGACATTTCCAGAATCAGACCACACCTGGAGTGCTGGATTCAGTTCTGAGCGCCACGTTTTAGGGAATACAGTGCCAAGCTACAGTCCATCCACTGAGAGCAGGGCAACTAAGCTATAAGAAGATTGGTTAAAAGTTGATACGATGAGAAGGTCCGCTCTTCAAAGGCCTTATTTATAATGTATCTCTCTGGAGCTATCTCAGTGCTTCACACAGAAGTAGGTGCACAATCACTTTGAGATGATGGAATTGCTCCACGATAGATTGGACCTGGACCCTTGCCTCTGCACCAGTGTCGACAAAGCTATCTCCTTCAGAAGATTTATAAGGTTGTTAGTTAAATAAGAGGTTTGATTTCAAAGAATAAAAAACCTCAACAACTTTTTTCAGCAAGTCCTCTGGCTCTTTCCATCTCTATATATCTATAGATAATTTAGATCAAATTTTAATTTGATCTAAAGGGAAATAAAACTGTGTAGATACCTCCCCTATTTCTTACATCAGTAAGCTTCCCAAGGACAGGGATTAGCTTTGTATCCTCAGCATTTAGCACAGTGCTGGACACACACGGTAGACCCCAAAAAGATGCTTATGGATTGAATGTCTTACTCTATACAAACTCCAATCATTTCCTGATTTGTACACATAAAACCCTCCAAGTGAGGAGAAATGTTGTTATTAGTATTTGGGGTGGTAACAATATAGCTACAAGGTGCCATGCATAATAATTAAATACCAGTTCACTGCTTGAATGCTATGCAAACATTATATGTTACATAAATGGGGAGGAGAGTCAATTCCTGTGAAGATTCTGGTATAGACTAGCCTCTGACTCTTACCTCCGTCCTATGGGGCCACCCCAAGCATGGCCATGTGGTGATGGATCTTTGGGTCACTGCAACTCAAAAAAGGTGGCTACTAGACTAGAAAGGGAGTTGAGATCTGCGTGGGAGGAAGAGGCTTCTACCCCAACGAAATCAGAGAGCCTTAGAGCCCTGGTGCACGTTCAGAGGTCTGATAAAGGAGATTTCCTTTGGATACTTCAGTGTGACATGGACTTGCAGCTGGCAGGGGACTTAGAGGACATCTAGTTCAGCTGCTTCATTTGACAGATGAGGAAACTGAGGTCAGAGAAGGGGCTCACCCAAGATTATGCAGGCAATAAACCACAAAGTCCATGACTGAGGTCCAAGCCAGGTTCTGAATCCAAATCCTGTGCTGAAGGGAGTATTCTGAGTAGACCATACAAGTCTGGAGATGAGTGGGCAACTGGAGGTGACTATCTACTGAGGTACCAAGGGAGCAGAATCTATACTGGGAGGAGGATTTACCATAGGGATGAAAGGAGAGGTCCCTGAAGTACTTACAGGGATGAAGGTTTTAATCAAGACACCTGAACACGATATCAAAACAACTGATAGGGGTGGGAGGTGGCAGGTGAGCCGGGGTCCATACAAAAGATATAATGCTTTGGTCCAACCAATCCTGTGAACTCATCCATGTACAGATGATAAGAATGGATGGGCCAGCATCCAAAGATCCAGGTGTGGCTCTGGATTTAAAAGGCATCAGAGATCTGGTGGGGCAGGGATGATGATGATAATAACAATTACAATAGCAATAATAATAAAACCTACACTTTATAGGTCTCACTTGATCCCCCAACCACGTGGGGCGGCTCCTTGTCATTAACCCTATTTTCTAGATAAGGGAACTGAGTCTCTGAAGTCAAGTGGCCTGATCAGAACCACACAGCCGGTCACAGACAGGGCTAGGGTCATTCGACCGGAGCATCTAGGAGAACCTAATACCAATACTATCAACAGGACATGCCATGACAGAAATGCCACACTGAACTTTGGAACCTGTGGCAGAAACAGCTATGCAACAGTTGGATTGGTCCCACTCCTTGGGAAGGTCACAAAGGTAGCTGGAAAGCCTGGTCACATGAGAACACTGAGGGGCTTAGGATGTGAATCCTAGAGCTGGAGAGAGGGACTGAAGAGCACCTGGCTAAAAGCCTCTGGCTTTAACATGAAGAAAGCGAGGCTCAGAGGCTGCTCAGCTATGCTGACTCCCCATTTCAATTAGATTCAACTCTTTCATGGGGCTCTGTCAGGTGTGAAGATACAAAGACCAAAATTAAACCATTCTCGCCCTCACGGAGCTCCTACTCCAATACACCAGGCAACCTCCCAACCAAACTCTGCATAGGTCAGGTGTGGAGTCCTTCTGGATTTGCTTCTGAGTAGCCCTAAAGAAGTCTTCTAGAGAGGACAGCAACACAATGAAACTCAATGTCCTGGGGAGAAGTCAGCATCTCCCTCCCTTCTCTGGGGGGCAGAGGAGGAAGAGAAGATCTATGGTTGTAGAACAAGGTGTAGGTCAGTTTCACTGAATGTTGTTTTTCTCTTTTTCTTTGTCTTAAGAAATGGTTTTCCAGGAGAGAGATGGATGAGGTATAGATTATGAAACAGGTAAAACAAAAACAAGAAATAGAAACAAAATGTATTTTTTAAAATGCGTAAACCTGGAAAAAAAATCCCCTGGAGAGAGAAAACCAACTTCTCATTTGTATACTCATTTTTAAAAAAAGGAAACAACTCAGACAACACTGATCACACCACTAGGCAAAAACCCTAAAAATGTCTTAGCTGGTAGGAAAGACTCTGTTTGCCAAAACATTTATTTGTGGCAGCACTTCTAGTGGGAGTAAAAAACTAGCTCACTGGCTAGGGAACTGCTGTAAAATGTGGTAAATGCACGTAATGGAATATTATGATGCCACAAGAAACAATGAATATATTGAATTCAGAGAAACAACTGATGCAGAGCAAAAGAGGCAAAATAATCATTTTTAAAAAGTCACAATATGTACAATGGCCAGGAGAACGTAAAGGAAAAACACTTTCCAAATAACAGCAGGATTCCCTCCCAGCAATGGAGGCATGTGGCTGGCACAAGCCTGCCTCCTCCTAACACAGACCAAGGAAGGAGGTTTAATGGTACGGGCCAGATGCCAGTCTATTTTGTGTTCTCTCTCACATACATATATATATGTGTATATCACTACTGACACACACTCTATACCATTTGAATGTGAGCTCCCTGAGGGCAGGAATCACGTTTTTGCTTTTCTTGGTTTAGTACCTGCCACCGAATATGCTTTTATCAATGCTTGCTTATGTTTCTACTGGCAGTGTGACTGGGACAGGACAGGGAGGTAAAAAAAAGCATCAATAAAACATTTTTAAAAGGCAAGCATACAGTGAAATACAAACGTCATGGGAGAGACAGGAAAAGTATAGCCTAAGTAAACAATCTGCCGAAAACCTACTTCCTACCTACTTCACTGGAACCCCAGAAAAAACCCCTACCACCTGCCATAGGTCCTGGATCTGGCCCAGGCAAAGGGATGGGGAAATGGACATGTCAACAACAAAACCCCTCTGCTCCCTAATGAAAAAGGGAGACTGATGCCTATAGAGAAATGGTGGTGTTGCGGAGTCACCCAACTCTTCCACATCACGTCTGGGATTTTCTCGGCAAAGATTCTGGGGTGGTTGGCCGTTTCCTTCTCCAGGAGGAAAAAGAAGGCATGGTCCCACTGGCAGAGGAGAGCCACGTGGGGAGTGGATGCTGAGGTTCACAAGATGAGAATCCATCCCCAGGAGCAGCCAGGCTCCTCCCAAGGGTACTGCAGGAGGTCAAGGGTGGACCAGGGAAACTGGTTACAAGCACATGCCCACTTCTCAGAGCACTGTGATATTACGGTGGAACAGGCTCTGGACGTGAATCCTGACCCATATTCATAGGCTCTAGGACTCTGGACAAGTCTCTTCACCTTGGGGAGCCTGTTTCTTCATCCATAAAAGGAGGACAATGTCACTTGAATTACACCTCTCTTACCAAGCTCTGGGTGGGAGAAAACCTGTTGGATTCCACATCATGGAAGGGACCCTCCGCGGCCATCTAGCCCAACTCAAACAAAACAAAACGCCAACCCGGGTACACCATGCTTGTAAGTGGCCACCTAGCCTCTGCTTGAAGCCCTCCAAGGAGGGGCA